AAGTGTATGCTGCAAATCAAACAACACCTGTAAGGGATATGAAGATCATTAAAAACTTTGTTTAACTACAAAGTTTAACCTTTCAATAATGTAGTCTCTAGCACTTTCACACACACCATAGGAATGGACATATTTGATTTAAAATCAAATTAGTGCTATCAAAACTAACAAGTGACTTGTTTTTACCCATATGAACCTTATTAATTGGATCTCCAATAAAAAAGATTGGGTTACCATCACTTGTTTGTTTGCCGTGGCTTAAGTCTCATTCCCCTCGATGTTTCTAAGATCATATTTCTTTCCAAGGGTTTTGTTAGAGGATCTGCTAGATTCCGTTATGACTTCACACAGTCAATAAAAATAATACCACTCTTTAGCAACTGCTTCACCAAATTGTGTCTCAATTATATATGTCTATTCTTTCCATTTGAAATTCTTGTTTTTAGCTATAGCTATTGTCGATTGGCAATCAAAGTGCATTAACATCGATGAGGTTGGTTTCATTCCTAGTGGAATGTTTGCTAAGAAGTTTTTCAACCACTCAGCCTTACGACCAACCATCTCAAGAGTAACAAACTCAAATTCCATTGTTGATCTTGCAATAATTGTTTGTTTGGTTGATCTCCATGTAATCGCATCACTCCGAAGTGCGAATACATAACCACTAGTGGATTTTGTCTCATTTGAATCAGAGATCCAGTTAGCATCACTATACCCTTCTAGTACAACGGGAAATCCACTGTATTAAATAGTATAATCCATTAAATCTCTTAAGTATCTCATAAGCCTGGAAAGTGCATCTCAATGTTCTTGATTTGGACATTGAGTGTACCTACTCAGTCTACCTACTGCATAACCAATATCATGTCTAGAAAAGCTCATCAAGTGCAATAAGCTCCCAATTATTTGGGCATACTGAGGCTGAGATATAGATTATCCTATATTTTTCATTAATTTAGAATTAGCATCATAAGGGGTACTCACAAGTTTGAAATCATAATGCCTAAACTTCTTAGGAAGTTTCTCAATGTAAATTTCTTGGGATAGTAATATACTATCTCCATTCCTTTTGACTCTAACAACTAAAATTGCATTGGCTTCGCCCATGTCTTTCATTTCAAAGTTGGATCCTAGAAACAGTTTAGTTCTAGCGACAATTTCATTGCATGTACCAAAAATTAACATGTCATTCACAGACAAACATATAATGACACAATCACCATTTTCAAATTTAGAGTCACATATTTATCAGTATCATTAGGTGAACAATCATCACATAGTAATACATTATCAAGTTTTTCATGCATTGTTTTGGTGCTTATTTCAACCCATACAAAGATTTTAAAAGTTTACAAACTTTATTCTCTTAACCAGGTACAACATACCCTTCAGGTTGAGTCATATAAATTTCCTCCTCAAATCACCATTCAAAAAGCAGTTTTAACATCCATTTGGTGTATCACTAGCTTATGGATGACAACCAAGGCTAAGAATACTCAAATAGAGAAAATCCTAGTTAGAGGGGAAAAAGTGTCAAAGTAATCTATGTTGGGTTTTTGAGTAAAACCTTTTGCTACTGATCTTGCCTTATACTTCTCTATAGATCCATCAGGATGATACTTTTTCTTAAAAATCCACTTACAACCAATGAGTTTTGCTCCTTTAGGCAAATATACTAAGGTCCACGTATTATTTTTCTGAATTGATTCTATTTCAGTCTTAATGGCTTTATCCCACTATTTTGCATCAGGAGCACTAATGGCTTCTACAAAGCTACTTGGATCATTATCAACTAGATAGGTACATAAATCATTACCAGATGATGTTTCCTTCCTCTGTCTTTTACTTCTTCTTAATTCCTCACACAAGACGTCATTATTATTATTATTATTATCTACATGTTGAGACGTCTCACTAACATTTAAAGGAAAAACATATTAAAAAACTCAACATTTTTCGTTTCCATTATAGAATCACTTTCAAGTATATCACTTTTAAGAACTAGAAACCTATAGACAACATTATGTTCACATAGCTTAAGAACATGCAATTAGAGGTTTTAGAGCCTATTTCCTTTTCTTAGGATCGGGTAACATCACCTCAGCTAGACACCCCACACTCTTAGATATTTAAGGTTAGGTTGATAATCTCTCCACAACTCATAGGGAGTTCTACCATTTTTCTTATGAGGTATTCTATTTTGTAAAAAACATGCAGTAAGCAAGACTTTTCCCCAAAGGTTATCAGGTGCACCAGAACTAATACGCATCGCATTCATCATCTCCTTAAGAGCTCTATTCTTTCTCTTAACTACTCCATTAGACTCAGGTGAATATGGTGAGGTTACTTCATGGATGATACCTTCTTTAACACAAAAGTCCTTAAACAAAACATATTCACCACCTCTATCTAATATAATCCTTTTAATTTTCTTATTTAATTGATTTTCTACTTCTGCTTTATAGGTAAGGAACACATCAAAGGCTTCATCTTTATGTTTAATTAAATACACTTTAGTGTATCTAGAATAATCATCTAAGTTACAAAATAATTTTTCCCTCCTCTAGATATGGTTTGTTTTAAATCAGCTAGATCGATATGAATTAGCCATAACAATTCAGTTTAACGATCAACATAATAACATGTTTTCTTGGTTATTTTAGATTCTACACACATATCACATTTACTACTTTGTTTATCATGCATATTAATTAATAATTGTCGCTGTAATTTCATAACACAGGAAGACATCACATGTTCTAATTTAGCATGCCATATATCATATGAGTCAACAATATAAGCAAAAGAAGACGATTCATTAATATTCTAAAAAATGTTAAGTACAAAGAGACCTTGATCACAATATCACTTCCCCATAAAAACATTAGTTTTTGTCATTACAATTTTGTCAGACCCGAATGACACTTTAACCCCCACTTTTCCTAGTAGTGGTATAGAGATTAAATTAACTTTGATTGATGGCACATGTAGCACATCACTCAAGGCCAAAGTCTTTCCATATGTGAATTTGAGAATAACTTTTCCTTGTCCTAGAACAAGAGTAGTCCTAGAATCATCGAGCTAGACGTGTTCTTCTCCATCTCCTACACTAGTGTAAGAGGTAAAGGTACCTCTGTTTGCACAGATATGCCTGGTAGCACCAGAGTCTAACACCCACTTGCTCACATTGGTCATCAGATTTATTTGAGAAACGATCGCAGCAATAATGTCATCTCCTTCGGCTATATTGGCCCTTGGAGGATTGTCGTTTCTCGCTCTACGCCTGTACTGTGGTGCATGATGGCCCAACTTCCCACATACCAAGCAATTTCCCTTCTTCTTAAAGGTGGGGTTAGATGTGTTGGGGCGATATTTTCAAAAATTATTTTTCCTATTGTGATCAGGTTTATGTTCGTACCTTTTTGGACTAGGTCTATCCTCTACTATGTTTGCTTTTGCAGACAAAACTTTGGCCCTCGCAGTAGCACACTCTTTTCTGTTGGTATCTTTAATAATTATGTGAGTGATAAGCTCTGAAAGTGACATTTGCTTGTGTTTGTGTTTTAGTTGTTGCTTGTAATCAGTCCAGGAAGGCGGCAGTTCCTCGATTATAAGCTCTAAAACAAATTCATCTAGTAGAAGAACGTTCTCCGCTTTGATATCTTCGAGCAACTTGTGGTACTTATTGATTTGCGACTTTATGTCCTTGTCTTCAACAAGTGTATTTGAGAATCGTCGAATCTCAAATGTCTCTTGCTTCCTTATTGGAATAGTACACATCGAACAAATTGTTAGAGAGTGCACTAAGTAAAGTATGACAACATACCTTGTTTGCATAAACTCAATCTTCAACTTGTTTTGAATTTGGTGAAAGACTGAAGTCAGGTTTTGTAGATGAAAGAGCAAAAGCGACTTTGTACATATCTAAGAGGGTTGACACACGTTCTTGCCAACGCCAAAAATTCTGACTAGAGAAGACTTCAATTTTTGATACATCCAGGAAAGGTTTCACAAAGACCGTCGAAGTTGCGAAAACAATATTTTGATTCTCCAGGATTGAGTTGTTGTTGTCATCCATAAGTCCTTAAGATTGTTGTAGAAGTTGACAATAATTAAAAATAAAGATCACGAACAAATGATTTCCTAAGGCGTGTACATCACTTTCTTTAAAGATTTATTCGCAATGTATTGCGCAAGCCCCCCAAGATACAACAAGAACTTCTTAGACACTACAAAAAAGGAGGGCATTACCGAAGGCCAGAATCCTTCGGTAACATCCAAAAGCCGTCGATAATGATAATTTATCGAGGGATTAGCGACGAATATTAGACCGTCGGTAAACATGTTGTCGCTAACCATTACCGACGGCCTATGGCTCTCGGTAATTACCGAAGGGCAGAAGCCTTCGGTAATTACCGAAGGGCAGTAGCCTTCGGTAATCTGCACTTATCCAATTAAAAAAAACACAATTTGTGAATGCACTAGAACAAGTTCACCGACCAGCTTAAGCAGACAAGTCAATTTGACCGAATAATAGCAACATGCAAAATTGAATTCCTAATGCACTACACCTACAATTAACCAAACGAATCTGATACATACTGCATGATATGACAAAACAAACAGCAATTGCACTACTTTTACCCAACAGAAGTGAATCAACATCTCAAAACACTGCATGAAAGTAAGCACTTAGGTGATTAGTTAAGTTAACCTAAGCACACAGATCAAATATTCAAGCAAAATTGAGTACAAAATTGGAAGTGTTACCGCAACAAAATTAAGAGATTTATTGGAAAAAATAGCAATAAAGGAATATAAAGCCAACTTGAAACGATACATAAGAGAAGCATATGCAACCAATCAATTTCGGTTTTCATATTTATTATACGATTCAATTACTTTTACTTTGATAAAGTCAAAAAATTTCAATATTCCATACGAGTTAAAGTCAACTTTTAAAAATAAGATTAATGATGCATTAATATATGAATAGGTCTTTTCTCGATAATATGCCAAACATCTTAATTTATTAATATATTTCTTCTTGAATAAATCTATTTTTATAGAAATTTAAGCAAATAAATTTCTTCAAACTTCAATTATATAAATAAACTCATTTAGTATTTCACAGGTTAATTTTGACCTATGAATCATGTACATCTATCTATAACCATGCCAATCAAATCAATTACAGTTGGAATTGATATTTATGGTACAATGCTTCCAATTATTCATTCAAAAAAGCAATTAAGATAAACGTTCAACCACATCAATAATTGATCAAAAGTGAAAAGATGTGTGGACTTTTCAAATTATGGGAAAAAGAAGTATTGTTCTTCCAATTGCATTTAATCCTAGGCTTTTAGATTTCGGAACATAGATGCATCCAATATCACTTATATAAGGCCATAGTTTTCTGAACATCATCCAATTCATTTCAATCAAATCTCCCAAAACATTCATAAACTTTACATAACACATAAGCCCTTGTAATTTCCAATTAAAATTGTAACTTATACGAATTAATATGGCTTTTGCTTCATCCAAATGAAACTACCAATAACATAATCCTGAAAGCAAACCATAAAAGTTCTCAAAGCAGTGGTGAACAAAGAATCATACCAGGGTCATCAAAGAAGCAACCAATTCCGGTTGCTGAGATTCCAATAGCATGTGCTTTAAGAAGGTACAACACCTGTCCAAGGACTCCAGTTTCCCAAAATAATCGTGGATACATCCAGACATTCTTTTCACGCAAAGTAGGTTCCATACGGGCCAACATACCAAGGCTGAAGCAACCATCACTTGCAATGTCCTTCAAGAACGTGATACACTTTTAAAACAGGATATACAATATTCGTGGAGTATCAGTTCAGATTCTAATTAGAAATAAGACTGATATTAGTGTTACACATTTAATGGTATAATATCATTGTACATTAGACTTATCAATATATAGAATCAATCAAAAGCTAAATTAATTTTGTAACTCAACTAGTAGATGTTAAGATAATAAAGCACAGAAATAAGTCAAAGCTTTGATACCTAGATACACAAATCTATACTATGATGCTATTAGGAATAAAAAACATTTTGTTCACTTATTCAGTAGAGACAAAAGTACCAGACAGTATGTGATAATTGTGAAGCGCATGGATATATTATTACTTTATACAAATCAAATAAATTGTGTTTAAATAATAATTCCTGCTTCAAAGGAAAATCCAAATTTAACACAGTTATCTAATAAAAATAGTAGCATAAACCCTGGCGTTCATCCTAATAAAGACATCTCTCATCTCCTCACTGACTGTGTTTCATTTCACAATCTAACTAGAAAACTATTTGATCATGTACAACATAATTCACAGACATTAAGAAACTCCATAAACCAATGCAAAATTCAAAAGACATGTAGGCAATCACCAATTGCCACATACCTGGTGGCACGTAAGCTGCTTTGCAAGCTGCCGACAATCAGATCTGAGCAGTTCATACAGTGGAAGCTCATCTGGGAAACCCTCAGGTTTGGTCCACAAAAAGTTAGGTAGCATAGCTTTCTTCAATTCATCAAAGTGATTTTTATTCCTCACCAAGAAATACAATCCTTGAGGCAATCCCATCAGGTTTGCTCCCTTGGCCTCGCTTCTCCGAATGGACTAACCCCTTAGGTTTCCCCACTTTCCCATCCCCCCCTTTATTGGACACCGACAGAGACCGAGGTTGCAGAACAAGCCTTGGTCTCCCTCCACCAGCACCAACACTCTCACTACCAACGTTGGATTCGCCCATCTTCTTGTTCTAGTCATTTGAATCAGCATCGCTGGATCCAAACCCAATAACCTTCCTCTTTCAATCAATTTCAGTCCAACGTTGGATAACATCTAGTTAATTTCAGTCAACACGACCTTTTGTTGTGGCAATTGAGCACTACGTATCAGCCAACACCACTTCACTGCAACGCCCTCGACACGCCAACCCCCAACAACCCCTACCCCTATCGCAACACTCACAAGGACCAAAACACGAACCCTAGCCGCAAACCAGCCTCCAACGAACCACCGTCAGTGTCTGCAACAGCAACCACTTCAAACCGCCTTAGGGCGACAACCTCACGCTTCAAACCAACGAACTGCTTCGAACAGAGAGTAGGGAATTGAAGAGCGCCACCCAGCAACGAACCTCCGTCAGCATCCACACCACTGAACTCGCACCGTCAAACCGCAGTGTCGAACCGACTGACCGCCACCACCCTTAACGCAAACGCCAACTTCCACGAGTCACCATCCTCCAAAGTAATAGCCACCAACGAACCCACCTCCACGTTAGCAACCATCAATGGCTTAGGGTGACCAAATTCGACTTACGGTAATGACGAACAGACCAGGGAAGGGGAGAGAGGGATTTCTGAAATTGAAGAGAAGAGGGAAGGGGAGACGAGGGAATTCTGAAATTGGGGAATTCAGGACAAAAAAACCAAATTTCTAATCATTGACATTACCGAAGGCCTACATGCCTTCGGTATATTATGTGACCAACACTTTACAAAAGGCCTAAAGGCCGTTGGGAAATTCCCGTCGGTAATTACGCTCTTTCTTGTAGTGAGAATTTATGAGAATCTCAGAACTAGCAAGGATTTCTAAAAAGAGAATAAAATAAACCCAAAATATTTTTAGGAAAATAAGAAAAAAGAAAGAATGATACTAAGAGAAGAGAAAATGAGAGAAGAGTGATTTCTGATGATGATTTTAGAGTGAGTGAAGTGTTCTATTTATAGAACTGGTGAACCAAGTCCATTGTTGAGTCTTTGACAAGTGTACCAAATCGTTTCAAATAATAAACCGGAAAGACCGAATATCGTTTCCCAAGAGACTCGTGTCACCAATTAATCGTATAATTTGTAATTAACTTAGACTAAGGAATGATTCCATAATTTGAGTTTTAATGCAATTAAGGTAAATATAAGACGAACAGTAAAAATGAACTTTGGTAACTCAAACACTTAAGAATGAAAAGATTAGAAATGATATGGAATGGTATTGTTGGGGGTATGATTTCACCTACTTCACTCTTATGCATGATAATTCACTTCCTCTTCATTAAAATACCAATGTCAATCTACAAATTTACTCAAACTCAATCCCTCGATAGAGAGAGCCTAGACTTCCTTATTAGATTCCAATCCCTTGGAAAACCTAACAATTATTTCCGCATTAAGAATTGAGATTAACGACAACCAAAGGTCCTAATTCTATTCCTAGACACAATTTCCTTTAGGTGTTTAATCCAGTTCCAGATTCACATAATATTTCTCAATATTAAGAAAATCCTAAAATCATGTCATGGTTGATCAAATCATAACAAGCTTTAAGGGAAGTAAACACTAACAATCAATGAAAGAGGCATATAATCATTCAAAACAACTGTAATTACATAAGAGATCCGTGGTTACATCAATCCCCAATAATAAATGAAACTAGCTCTCCATGAATGGAGAGCTTAAGCTTACAAAAATGGTGAAAATTGAAGAAGGGAGAGAGAGAGAACCCAAGGAAGAAGAAGGATTGTTCCCGTAGCTCCTACCTCCAAGTGCTCAAGTAGAGAAAAATCGCATTTGGGTGCCCAAAGATCCAAAGCTCTTCACGTTTCTGAGTTAAATAGGGCAAATCTGCCGTGTCAGCAAAGTTGGCACTCAAGCGCCTAGAAGGAGGGGTGCCCAAGCGTGCGTCAGTCGTGGTGCACTGACGCTCGGGCTTGACCTTGCTGCACTGCTTCTTTTTCTCATTATTGTGTAGCTTTGCTTACTTTTGTGGCTGATTCAGCTCTCTACATTGATAGAGGTTCTTCCAAGCACAATATTAGCTACAAAATAAAGGGATTAAAGATGAAATTAGATCAAAGTAGCCCAAAACACAATTATTCATAAAACTGAGATAAAAGAGAGGATTAAGCATGTTACAAGCTAAAAAATAGTTGATTTTACTACTAAATTGATGCTTATATAATGATAAGAATTAGCATTATCAACCATGATCCAAAAGATCCAAAATATATGTCAAAATATCTTTTGAGAAAAAGATTTTTTAATAAATAAGAAAGTTGCAAACTAAAAACGAACATTGACAACAACACTTACACTAGAAGCACGAGACTTGCGGAGCAGTCTCAACGTTCAAATCAAAATATTTTGCAATATTATATTCAAAATTCATAAAAGTTAGTACATATGACTAAAAATAAATCTAAGAAATATACGAGTGAAACCACATTGATTGTGTTGAAAACTTTCAGTATTCAAACTAAAGAAAATATGATGCTTTCATTTGTGAACACAAGTTTCATATACTAATTGATTTTAGGTTACACTAGTAAAATATTGGCTTTTTAACTCGCCTAATAGGCCTCGGTTAAAGCAAAACCGAAACATATCCGAAAGCGGTGGCAAAATGGTAGTTTAGACGAACTTATATGTCCCGGTTTTTGTAGAACCGAAACCTATAGTGCATATTACCTCGGACAAAAGTATAACCGATGTCTAATACTATCTCAAAAAAGTCATCTGACCCTCTGCAAAACTGAGTTTTGGTCTGACAGTGATATAGTGCTTCGGTTCTACACAGAACCGAGGCCTAAAAGTCTGTCCCAAGTGTGTCAAATCACGTTGGTATCTGCGATAAGGTGTTTATGCCTCGGTCATATGTCTACCCGAGGTAATAGTATTCAAAACCCTACTTCTAATTTCTGATTCATTACTCATTTCTTCTCTCCCTCCATTCCATTGCCGCTTCTTCCTTACCCCCACGAACCTCCCACAACTAAACCACACCACACCACTGCCAGTCCCAGATCTGCCACCGTTTCCGTAAAGAGCACGCGATGAAGAGGAAGGAGAGGCATATCGCGCAGTCGGCGGCAGCGGAGGAAGAGCAGCGCGTGACAGAGGAGTGGACAATCTCCGATGAGATGCGGCGGCTGGAGGAGAATATCGGCATGGCGGTGGCGGATGCGGAGGGTGCGGCGGAGGAGGAGGAGAAGCGACGGAGGCAACGACGATTGAGGTGGCGGAGGAGGAAGCGACGATGATGAGAATGCTGGGATTGAGGCTCTGTAACGGAGAAGAACGGCACGGGGATGGGGGCCTTGTGGCGGAGGCGGATGCGGAGGGCGCGGGGGCGAATGCGGAGGGCGCGAAGGCGAATGTGGAGGATATGGCGGAGGAGGAGGAGAAGCGATAGAGGCAGCGGCGATGGCGGAGGCGGAGGCGGATGCGGCGATTGAGGTGGCGGAGGCGAATCCAGAAGCTTTTTTCTCCAGATTTCATTTCTTTTTTCTCTTTCGAAATCCAGAAGCTTCTGCGGCGAATGCTCTGAGGCACGACAACAGCGGCGAGGAACGATGCTCATGAGGACGCAGCTGTGACCGTCGCTGGAGAGCTTTGCGCAGAGTCATTCATCATTCTCCTTTGGAACTCAACCAGGTCCACCGGCACGACTGAATCTGAGTTCACACCGAAGATTTGATTTTGTTTTGATTTGTTTGGTTCCTTTGTTAAATTGAATTTGACTTTACTTGTTAAATTGATTTGTTGAATTGAATCTGAGAAGGATCCTTGGTACCAAAAAATTTGTTTCGTCTGCCATTGAAGCGTGATTCAAGCGTGTTTGGTCTGGTTTGTTTGTGAAATTTTTTTGTCAAGAAGCTTGAGCAGAGACATGAAAGAAGCTTGAGCAGAGGCATAAGACCTACCGAGGCACCAAAATTATACGAGTGGCTAAAGAAGAAGAAAAAGAAAATAAAAAAAAGGACCCTACTGCCTCGGTTCAGGCTCCAACCGAGGCAGTAGAGGGAGTGAAACTATTTCGGTTCTAATAACCGAGGCCTAATCGTATCATTATATGTCTCGTTTCAAAACTGAGTCATAAAGTCTACCGCTTTTTACCTCGCCTGAATATGCCTCGGTTCAGGAACCAGTGCCTATCAACGAAAATAACCGCTGTCATTTTCCTTAACTGTACTAGTGTTAATACTAATTATACAATTAGGGGTCTCCTAGTTTGGCTTCACACTATTATTTTCAGAGAAAGTGATGATTTTTTAACTTTTCCTTTTGTGAAAATTTTTATTTACACTGAGTTTATAGGAATATTTTTACTTTAGAATTGTTTGGGTGGAAGACTTTGGCAAACCTGTTGGAGAGTTATTCTTCTTTTGTCATGGTTTTTTAAAGGTTATTTTAATAGAACAAATGATATTGATTAGGGGAAGATGACATCAAACAACTTGAAATAAGGGCAAATATGAAGGTAAAAGCAGGAACAAGGTCAACCATAGCAGCAGAACATAGTGTAGGGAGAGCTGTATGAGATTACGGTGTACATCAACGTCTGCACTACAGTGCTGCATAGTTAGAGGTCATCTTCCAAATAACCAAACAAAATAAATTTTCCAGTAAACTTCTATTAATTAGGATTGAAGTTTCATCTAAAATATTAATAAAAGTTTACTTGTTGATCCAAAAGACTAAAAAAAGAACAACTCTTCAACAAAAGTTTCTTAAAGTCTTCCATTCAACGATTTAAGTTATACTTTATATTTAAAAAAATGATATAAATCTTTTAATAGATTTATTATATATATATATATATATATATATATATATATATATATATATATATATTAATTTTAAGACTCTTACGTTAAATATTTCATTTAGATTTTTTAAACTGGGCCATTTTTTCCCTCTAAATACGTCATAAGTTAATTTTATATAAAAAAATATAAGTGACTAAAAAATTAAGAGGTGTATTCAAT